TGTTAGCATCAAGCTGTAGCCATCTCTTCCAAACATCACCAGGGACCCCTCGGGCATGTAAAAAGTCGCCTAATTCCATAATTTTCCACCAGTGTTAATGGCCCTCTCAAACATCTCACATCCTTGTCAGTGAAGCTGAGTGCTCACACATCTCTTCCTTCATAGTGCCCATCTATATTAAAATCCAAAATTCTGTGATTAAAGTCAGAATTCTACGGAAGAGGATTAGGGCCACTGGGGGGAAAAAAAGTTAACTGATGTTAAAATTTTATTTCAGTTTAGTATGGGGAAAAAAATCAGAATTCTGACTTTTTCTCATAATTCTGACTTTTTTTCTCAGAATTCTGACTTTAATCTCAGAATTCTATTTTTTTTCTCAGAATTCTGACTTTATTCTCAGAATTCTGACTTGTTTTTTTTGTCAGAATTCAGTCAGAAGTCTGAGAAAAAAAGTCACAATTTTTTCCTCATATTATACTGAAATAAAATGTAAAATCTGTAAACCTTTTTTGTTTTTTTCGGTAAAAATTGGTTTAAACACCGCAAGTTTTATGAATAACCACAGAACGCACAAAAGACTCGTTTGTGTCTTTTTAAAAGCAACCTATACATTAGGCCCCAATATATATTACATCAAATGTAAATATTTGTATCGAAAGCTAATCAGAGTATTTGTACTGTTTTTCATATAATTGCAACCTGCTCCTAACCTGACAACAGCCAGATGCATGTAAGATGCATGTCTCGCTCCGCCTACATGCATCTGGCTGTTGTCAGGTTAACCTGCTCCACCATAGCGCAACAATGAATGGGAAGAACAGCTGGACAGGAAAAAATAGTAATTGCGCACACCAGGGCAGCGCGGGGACCGACTGGTAGTTTGTCTGGGGAAGATGAACTTTTCTGTAGTCCTGCCGTGTCAATCAATAAAAATAAAATAAAACTGCAAAATGGGAGCACGGCTGATTTCATAGCAGCTGTCATCCTCAGAGTTTGGAGCGCGGTGCGTCTTTGCGGACATGGAACAGAAAGAAATTGATTGATCCAGAATAAAGATAGCGATTATGTTTAAATACTGACTTAGATCAGGGAAAAATGTAAGTTATAGCTATATTATCTATTAACCCAGAATAACGTCAGGTGGAGGTTTGTTTTAATTATCACCGCGGCCATCACGAGGAACAACAGAGAGAAAATAAATCTGAACTTTCTGGTTATGATGAAAAACAGCAGAAAACGTGTCTGGGAGCTTCCAGCATAAAAGTATAAAAAAATATATATTACTATGTTAAGTCGAAATTAAACCAATCATCCCTAAACTAATCACATTAAATGGTGTTTTAGATAATCATGGCTGCAGTCAGGGTGTATCTGCTGGTGCCTTATTTTACTGATTCTCTACATTCAACTCTGGGTTTTTAAGGTGCAGTATTAGAAAAAAAAGAGTAGCCTAATTACAATTAATTAAGTAATCCGTTCTGATTGTTTTTATTGTTTTATATTTCTAAACAATAAGTGTAATAGATCTATGTTTTACTCAAAGTAAAACATAAATACTGTTTTATTCAAATAGTTCTTAATAACTGCAACATTAACAAAGACAAAAAAGTGTCCAAAAAATGTTCAAGATGAAGATATTATATTTAAACTCTACAAATTAAGGCCTTTTTCTCTACAGGAAGCATTTTATAGATGCTACAGATGCTCAGTGCATCAGTTTCAGTTTCAAAGAAGAATCAGAACATATTTATGAAAGAATATTTCATAAACATATTAAATAATGTTAAAAATATTTGAAAATTTCTCACCATGAATAAAATAATCTGTGTTTTTAGGATCTTACCATTTATCAAAGATTCAAGACAATCAACTTTATATCAGTTTAGCTTTTGTTCTTTAGCATGATCCAAGAATTCAGATAAAGGTTTTTCTAAATAACTTATATGCTTGATGATCTTTAGCGAAATGCTTTTTTAATGTTTTGGCTACTTTTCAAATAATCAAATAACATTTTTGAATGTAAAATATATAACCTTCCTTTTTAATTAGCATCAATTTACAGCAAAGTTTTCATTGCTGAAGCAAAAAATGAAATATATTTTTCAATTCAAGTATTGTGTATATTCTCTTTAAATAGAGGTCATATAGGGATATTTAAATCTATATCATCTTCTCCTTGAAGCAGTGAAAAGCCATGCATCCTATACAGGGCAGCAGTGTTTCTGATATGGACACATTATCCATTTCGTATAGAGCATTGGGGTTCGTGCCCATTGTTTGACAGCTTCTTCCAGACCAACATGTGTATTTGTTATTGAGCAAAGAATCGGCACAACTATTCAGCCTTGGATGCAAGGAGAAGGAGTAGGCCCTACTCAACTTAACTTTATTTATAAAGCCTTTTAAAACAACCACAGTTGTCACAAAGTGCTGTACATATCATCCATCTATCCATTATCTTACACGCTTGTCCCAATTGGGGTCGTGAGGGGTGCTGGTGCCTATCTCCAGCTGTCAATGGGCGAGAGGCAGGGTACACCCTGGACAGGACGCCAGGACATACAACCATTCACGCACACACTCACACCTAAGGAGAATCTACAGAAGCCAATTAACCTAAAAGTCATGTTTTTGGACTGTGGGAGGAAGCAGGAGCACCCGGAGAGAACCCACGCATACTCAGGGACAACAAGCAGACTCCATGCAGAAAGACCCTGGGCCGGGAATTGAACCCAGAACCTTCTGTACATATCAAGTAAAGTTAAAATCATTAACAGTCAGGGCCCACTCGGACTGAAAAAAGGGGACTAGGACTAAATAAAGTTTGCCTGGGGCCCCAAAATGACTGGCATAATTATAATGTATTTGAAGATTTTGGTCCTCCTCGTGTAAACTGTCTATTCTACTGCTGTAATCCCCTACAGTTTCTTCTTTTTTCAAAGTACTTACTTTACAGGAAGTCCAATGACTGGTTCCCATCCTGATTATTTATGAACCAGTCTTTTGTCGAGTCTCTCTTATTGTGAAAGTCTTAGGCGAACAGGAACCCACCTGTATCACACATGCATCAAACTCTTTTAATAGACGGATACTGTCCTGGTATAACAGGATCCTGCAACCTTTCATATCCAAAGAGCCACTTAACCCCCAAGTAAAAGTTGTTTAGAACCAAAACATATAATCTGACTTTAAAAAAAAAAAAAACACCTATTTTTATTTTATTTTTTTTTATTTTCTCGTATAGGACATTACTTGCCAATAAATAATGTATTTTTTTAGCTTTTAAAATAATATTATAAAATAAATTCCAAGTTAATGAAAAGAAAAATGGTTCTAAAAACATATTTCTGGTTATTTAATGTCATTCTTTTCTGTCTTATAAAAACCACCAAAGTGTTTAAGACTAGAACATTATTAAGCTCTTTATATACATTTTAGCCACTTTTAAGAGCCGCTGTAGAGGGTCCAAAGAGCCGCAGGTTGCAGACCCCTGCAGTATAACCTTTGAAACTTGTTTTTCTTAACTGATGGACTGGATGGAGAGGAGGTACAACCCAGATTACAGAACTGGAACTTGCAAAGTTTAACAATTAGAACAATAATCCAGAATAGTCCAATGAAAAAAAATTCTATTTCCAATTAAACGAGTTCAGTGTTGGGTTTGTTGGGCTCTTATTGTGACAGTGCAGCCCGGAAGCAGCTTGATTGATTATTTTAATTGACCCGCTCAGGTTCTCTTATAGTCCTGTTGCTGCAGGTTTGATGAGTAGATGCTGGAAGGCTGAGAAGAGGAGGTAGTTCGGGAACAGGACGGGACTGAGGGGTGCCAGGCCGGAACCTGTGAGTGTGCGTGGGTTCCTTCTCTGGAGACACGCAGCGCTGTGGGTTAGAAGAAACCCAACCAGCAGCGTAAACCTGAGAGTTTTTGGCACTACAGAGCTTTATCAGAGTCTGCTCTGCAGAAACGCAGCGAGGTGAGAGTAAACTTTGAGCTTTGCCTCAGATTATTTCGTTGTTATCCATTTATTAAAGTTTTAATCTTGAAAAGAAAAGTTTTAGGAGAAACAAAAACTTAAGACTGGTGCAGTTTGTGGTTGAACCGCTGGGGGCGCTCTCTCACCCTACAGCCAGCATGGTTCAGCCTGAGCTCAGAGTTTAAGCCTGACTTTAGACCTTATATTCTGCGGATTTGAACAGTTTCTTGCCATATTTATCTTTAGCTCCCTCAAATGTTTGGATGTTTGTTCTGTAGTGATCAGAAGAAAATAAGCAGCAGAATTCAGAGATGTTCTTTTCTTCTTCACAGAAAAATAAATATTTTGGTTTAAGATTAATTTTTAAATGAAATAATTCGGAATCATGCATCCAGCACGAGGAAGGTCATGTTTTTTCCTCATTCCTTCCTTTGATCCATACTCTATGTTCTCTGTTAAACTAGTCTGGATCAATGGTTCTGAAGACTCTTTGACAGAAGGCTGCTTTTCGTTTGATTTAAGTCCAATTCCTGACTGTTTTAGTTTGAACTCTGACCTCTTTACCATTCACACAGAAACTCAATGATGACTCAGTGTTGTAATCCCCCAGAATAGAGAACAGTGTAAAAGAGCCTATTCTAAACAGGATTTTAGGCTCTAGCAAGAATCTTTTTGTTAGAAATAGTTCCTGATTGTTTTTTTTAATTGATGTGCAAAAACAAAAAAATGCCAGAACTTGAATCCCAACGGTGGGTGACGCCGATTTAAGAATTCCCTTTTGGACTGTTTTTCCCAATTTTTAAGCATCAGGTAACTCAAAAATCAAAGTCAGCCAGCTGACTGGCAGTGTGCAGGAACAAGTGGGGCAGTGCTGAATTACTCTATGCTTCATAAAGAACACAATTTTTTGTTGGTTCAAAACTTGAATTATCTCTTAAAAAAAAAATCCTTGTCAAAGTAAAATATCCTTTGAATTTTAGAATCTTGATCATTTTAAATCCTCAAAGTAACAGAACACAAGGGAGCCTTATCTGGACTAGAAGTTTGGAATCCAGAGTCTAGACCTGACCCAGATCTGGGTCCTACATCAGAGATCTGGATCAGAACTGTAACTGTCTTTTATCTGATGCAGTTTAATGCATTTGGATCATAGGAATCATGGAAGAGACTGTGTACCACATCAGGGCGTGAACATATGTGAATGACTGAAATTAGTGTAAAGCTCTACATAAGAACAGACCAACATGATTGCTCATTAACTATGAGAAGAACACAACATATCCTCCTTATTATGATGCTTCCAGCATTCGGGGACCCTCTACATGTTAAGCCTGTTCTCTGTATAGTGATGGTCTCTGGCCGTCTTATAGAACTTGAAAACATCCAATACAGACTCCTTTAGTAACTAATAAAGACTACTTTCACAAAAAGCAGTTTCTGCATTCCAAGTTTTCCAATAGTCTTGAGTATTCACAATATTCCCAGCAATCCTCTGGGATCCTTACTTCCTGAGCTCTGATCAGGTGATGTTGATGTATACCAGGTGGACTAGTTTTTGAACCGATTGATGCTAATCAGTTTGATTTCATCATTGATGAATCTCCCCCCTGCTGTGTTTAATCACTGACAGTGGGCCTGAGTGGGGGTGGCTGCCACTTCACACGTGTAGATTACCTCAGCCCCCCAACCTACTCGGCTGTTTACACCTTCCTGTAATCACTAATCTGATCAGACGGTTAGTTTCAGACAGGGAACAGCTCAGTTAATGATAGGGGATTGCTGCTGAATGCACCAATTAATTCAGAGAATGCAGGCATTTAATCACGAACGGCAATCATATAACATAAATGCAAGTATCGGCCAGAAATATCAGCCACACAATTCATTGCAGGGGAGTGGTGGCCTGGTGGGTAGGGCACAGAGCTTGGAATCCTGAGGTTCTCAGTTTGAGCCCCACTCCCACAGACTGCCACTCTGGGTCTCTGAGCAAAGATCCTTAACCCCTGATTGCTCCCCGGGCGCACCACGATGGCAGCCCAATGCTCTCCAAGGGGATGGGTTAAATGCAGAGGTACATTTCTCCAATATGAAATCAATAAACTTCAATTATTATTATCAGTCTCCCTGAACAACACAGCAGATACAATATGTTTCTGTCCCATCAGAACCGGCTCAGAATCCTTTTAGGGATGACCATGCATGTCTGTCAAACTGTTCAGTGAAGGAGACCTGATTCAGATTCAGAGCCAGTAGGTTCAGAGAATTGCTTTAGCAACTCTCTGTGGTTGTTCCAGCACACTGAAGGTAAACGCGCTGACCAGTTTAACCCCATGTCAGCTTATCTTTACTCTCACCAGGTGTGTCGGTATTCTTAATGCTATTTGTCCAATTTCACTAGAAAATATGTAGCCAAGGAGTCAGGCTGACAACCTGACTACTCAGTGGTCTGTGATGATGTTGAAATGGATGCAGGTTTAATAGTTCTAATTACCCATCAGTCTGAGGATGATGGATACTATAATGATTGAAGTTTATAATAATAGAATTTCAATTATCTCACATTGGAGAGATGTACCTCTGCATTTAACCCATCCCCTTTGAGAGCAGTGGGCTGCCATCGTGGGGAGCCCTGGGAGCAATCACTGGTTAAGGGTCATGCTCATAGATCCAGAGTGGCAGGATGTTGGAGTCGGCTTGAACTCAGAACCTCAGGATTCCAAGCTCTATGTCCTAACCACTCGGCTGCCACTCCATCTTCTTCATATTCCTTACATAGACATGGATAATTTTCCAATCTCATCATTAAGATCAATGAAGTATAGCCCATTTTAGCATGGACATGATTTGACTAAGAGTTAAAAGAAGATGGAAACCATTCCTGCTGTTCTTCCTGAAGACGTGAGTAGAACCAGCTTTGAGGGCCCACATTTAGTGCCAGACTCAGGCCTCCTCTTCAGCGCTGACTGCTTCCAGTTTAACCAAGGAGGAAACCTACCAACTCAATGGTTTTTCTCCTCCATCCCCCTTAATGCCAATGCTAGCCATGATGCATAGCATTGCACTGGCTGTCAGAGCCTCTGCGGAGAGCCAGTGCCTCTACCAGCTTGCAGGGATCTAGAGTCTCAAATACGGGGAATCATCCAGCTTCACCCAGAGAGGCTGTCACTAAGGGCTCTTTTCTGTGAAAGCCTTAATTTATACTTTGTTGGTCTTCCAGAAAACATTCATTTAATGTTCGCTACAGTGTTTCCTGTACTACACATATAAGTTGGCTAAACTCAGAACTTATTTGAAAACCGATTCACCTCGAAAAATATGAGTCAACAAATCTACTTCTTATATAAGGATATTTTTGTGAGCTTGTAAGTTTATCATGTTTTTATTTTCAAATATGCCAACTTTACTTAAAGCTTATACATCCCTTTTTTTTTTTTATCTTTTATGTGTTCTTTTTAAATCCAGGTTTCTTTGTAATTATAAATTGACTTAATTTATACTTATCAATCTTTTGAGTTACTTACACCAACAAAATGTGGTTGGTTGACTGATTACAGGGTCAGGTTTTTAGCTCAGCTACTCTAAATGAGCTGCCAATTTCGATCCCAATTGACTCTTTATGCATTATGCGTATAATATGTATTGAAGCTGCTAAAAGCTCCCAAAATCAAAGACACTGGTGTTCCAATATTTTTTTAATATGATGCATAATAAACACATAAGGTTAAGAGGTTTGACAGTATTGATGTCCATAAGTGAACACACATCATTGATTGTAACAGCAACCTTACTTATGGTCAGGGGAGGATCTAGGATTCTAGGAGATCAGGTTCTTAGCACTGAGGGTGAAGATGAGAGAGTAGACTTTCTGGTAAATCCCGTTCTAATGTAAAATATAATATAATATATAATATAATATACTATATTACAATTCCCCCTCCATAACGTGGGATTAAATAAATGTACCTGCAAGTCTTTAACTGTTATTTGTTTCTCTCTTCAGCAACAACAAACTCTTTAAATTTGGTGACATTTGATCATTATTTTCCAGAGTTATGAGAGGGAAATCAAATATTTTAGCCATCTGATATAATCCATCTCCCCCATAACATGGAGAAAAAAATGTAAAAATCCTGTGAATTTTGAAACTGTCATTATTTTTCTATATTATGTTTGAAACATTTATTATTTTACATTTTGAAATCCAAAATAGTTCAAATAAATCTGACTGTTGGTTTGATGATCTTTATGAAATGTATTTTCACTTGTCAATTCCAAATGTCTGGAGTTGCATTGTTCCAGACATTTGGAATTGAGAAAGCTTTCTGGATGGAAAGCGAAAAATCTTCAAACTTGAGAAAACAAAGTCCTGTGGTTTTGGTTTGAACTTTTTTTGGAATATTTATGAATTGTAGATAAAAATGTAAACGGAAAATCCATTTCATGAAGATCATTGAAGGGGGAATGGATTGTATCAGGTGGCTAAAATATATTTATACCGGTATATCTTGCACTGGTCGCATTTAATGCCTCATTGTTATATGGTCTCATTCTCACATTGATCTGAGCAAGGTCCCACCCCTTTCAAATACTAAATATTTTCTGTCCAGTAGTGCACACTGCTTATTTAAGATGAGTATGAACAAGTCGATCAGAGTCGGACTCTGTTCACTTAAAATATTTTAATACACTGAATGTTAGGTTTTACAGTGACATGGCGAAAAAGCCCTCTCCTCCATCAAGGTTTATTTACGTATATACCTTGAGCTGAGCATGCAATGTTGGTTTTAGGGGGAAATGGGGGAGAGCCATCTCTAGGGGGCAGTTCTCAGACCTCCGATTGACTTTAGTGAAGGACAAAGTATGCATGATCTGTATTTGCATTCCTATGATTTTGGTAGCTTTTAGAAGGTGTTGAAGTGAACAGGAACAAGCAGATTCTCTGCAACTGTCTCTGTAGCTCTGATCAGGATAGACCCCTGGTCTGTCTGGGTCAGTACTATGGAGGAAGTTGAGGGGAATATCATGAGCCTGATAGGAAGCGAGACAATGGCAAAGGAGAAAATATCCAGATTAGAGAAGTAACTAACTAAAATCTCTGACTCTCAAAGCAAACTGGACAGATTCATCCAAAAATACACATTTTGGGTGTAAAGGACAACAAATAAAACATGTCAGTAAAAACGGTGTACTTATTCATGGTATTAGATCCAGAGTACATAAGATGGGTAAAGTGATACTGCGATCTGCTTTGAGCTTGTGAAAGCAGCATCTACATTGTTGTGTGTACCGCCCAGCTTGGTTATGTTGGAGAGTACGGGGCACATACACACATTATTTGATCTCATGAGTTGGTGGTCTGTAGAGGGATCCTCTATGCAGCCAGTATGTCAGAAAAAAACAGGTTGAACTGCAAAGGATTCCACTTCTTTTTTTTTTTTTTTAAATAAAGAAAGAGGATTTTTCCCAATCTAAGACCCCAATTAAATACTGTGATAGAGATGTTAAAGGAACCGGTTGATTGTCTCACCAAACCGCCCTTCTTACTCATGAAAAGGGACACGCTTCTTGTTTTCCAGTGCAGCGCCAGGGGGTGGGGCTTGCCTGTTTGCCCCACTTGGCACTAGAAGACTTGTCCTTAGTGTTTTTAGATATAATGTATTTGCTTTTGCTGAAATGTTGCTGTTTGTTGATTCATTACATATTTTTGTGAGTTTTTTGTGCTGTGCTTTATAACCTTGTCAGCAGGTATCCTATTAAAAACAACAGAAAAAGATGAAGGCTATATAGATTTCACTCTGTTCCAGTTGTGGTTTCAGAAAACAGACTGTTGAGGTGCAGGTGAGCCTCAACCTTCTGAGCCTACCTGAGTGGTTGAATGTTAATATGCGTGACCTCAGAGCAGTTTGAGTTGAGTTTCTTCTAACAGTGTGTTTCAAGCTGACGCTTGCTGATCTGATAAGTGTGTGTGTGATCAGCAGCTTCAGTATCAGCTCACCTTTGACCCCGCCCCCTCTGTGTTTGTGTTTAACTCTCAGTGAGCGCGGGCTGGCCATCAGTCCTGCACGGCGGCGGCTGCAGACATGTCTGTGTCCACACAGCTGGGATTGCTGCTGTGGAAGAACTTCACCTACAGACGCCGACAGACGGTCAGTCCTCATTCCTGCTATGATTGATCACTTCCTAGTTGCATTGGTCACTTCCAGTTCCTTCCTGCTCGGTTCAGTCACCTACTGTTCCTTTCTACTTGGATTGGTCCCTTTCTAATTGTTGATTCCTTTTTTTTTTTTTTTTTTTTTTTTTTAACCTGTTTGCTTTGCTGACACACCTGAATTTCCCCACTGTAGAACAATAAATCCCATTGACATAGGTACTGATCAATGTATCGATGCCTTTGTTTTTCCAGCTCCAGCTTCTGGTGGAGATCATCTGGCCACTCTTCATCTTCTTCATCCTCATTGCAGTGCGGCTCAACTACCCACCCTACGAGCAGCATGAGTGTGAGTTTAGAACCAGAATGCACATCTGATGTCCTAATTGAGGACAACAGATTTTCCCTTTGCTCCACATTAGGGCCCATTCTGATCGGCCGCTTAGAATTTAAAACCTAAGAATTTGATAGAAACGAGAGCCTTAATCCATTTTATTCTTTAGCTAACCTCAAATTCAACCTGTAGACCACAGCCCACTATCTTTTTCTTATAATGAAGTTTTATATCCTCATGATTGTTGGTAAAAGGCAGCTGTAGATTCTCCTGGCATGTTTGCTGAATGAAGTGTTCAGGAGGACATGCTGAGGGGTTCAAACTGCTGGAGCTTCTTCTGCTGCAGATGTTCTGTCTCAGCTGGAAGTCTGAGGACACAGATCGACACGGGTTTTCAGCATGAGGCAGACGACTTTGATCTGTTTTCTTTCTAGCATGTAGTGAGGAGCAGATAAGGCTGGGCTTGTATTAACTCCAACCTGAACCTTCAGCTCAGGAAGGCTACACTGCAGGTTTCAGCGCTCTAAATATTCTGCTGGACTGGTGTTGGTTTTCAGCACAGTGAACATCTTAGCTGCTGATTTCTTTGGGGTTTTTGGGAATTTGATGAAAAAATTTCTGTATGCAGAGAGTGTGTTAACATGTGGTTGCTATCACCTGACTGATCCAGGATCGGGTACTGTACACAGTTCAAAGGTCTGTAGATGCTGTGCGCTGTGGGTCTCACAGGGTTGATGTTCTGCTGGTCTCTCACCCAAACTTCTGCAACGAAGACTCCAGAAAAAATAACTACTTTAGAAAAGCAAAAGTTTCCAACCGAAAAACTGAACAGAACCTCGGTTTCCACCCGTCGAGTAACTGGAACATGTCTAATTGGTAGTTGGATGTAAGGACAGAGGAACCGGGGACACCTTCTGAGGATGTCTAGCTTTACAGTTATGTTTTTGGACTCTTTAGGAAGGCTTACAAGCAAGATAAATTGTCATGAGATTTGTTAATTCACAAAAAAACAAAAATGCATTTGCCAGAAGCAAACAGATGTCTTATCCTCAATACAGAAATGTTTGGACCAATGAAATGCAGTGACGTCTGCATGACGTGTGACATAAACAGCCTTCCGCATCAACCAGAAGTGGAAGGCTAATACTGGGTGCTCCGGTTCTAGCTAGAATACCCGCTATCCTTTAAAAAACTAACAAAACCATACAGTTTGGTCCTTTTTGTATGGAAAATATATTTGCACGCTCCATCTGACCATATTTGGTAAGAGTGGGATTTATCAGTTAACTGCGGCAGTCGTAAAACAAATCAAGAATGGGATCCATCGCAGCTTCTACTGCTGCTGGGATTGGCTAAAAGCTTGACTTGGGAGGCAGATACCCAATCAGCTTACAGTTGTATTGCGTGTCCCTCCCTTTTGTGAACAGGTTCTACAGGAGGCTTTCCAGATGGGTACTGTGTAGAATTCAAATTGACATACCCAGATCAATCTGGCTTATGCCATGTTAGGGGACCGCTTGAGAACCCAGAAAGAAGCCGAAATATTAATAAAAATCACATTAAATAGAAAAAAAAAGATGCAAAACATATTTGTATCCTAGTTTTTGTTTACATTTGAGTTTCTTTTCTAAAACAAAACTATCACAAACTACTGTACAGAAAAGCAATAAAACAACTAACTGCCAATAAAAGGAAGATAAAATGACACAATTAAAACAATGACACTGCTTAAACAAGACTAGTTTTTACCTGCATTTTAAAGTAATCCACATTAAACATAGTCATAGAGGTCGACTGGTCCACAGCCTTGGTTCCAAGGATTGAAAAGCTTGGTTCCTGTTTGTCTGGTGTGGAACATCTAGATGTTTCTGTGCCTCTCAGTGAAAACAAGAAGTAGCAGGATGTTCTAGTAGAAGATTAGATCAGTAATCTAGGGCTTTGATATTTAGTGCGCTTTATGTTCTATCAGTAAATCTGTTGGTGGCCAATTTAAGGTATGTGAAACAGGGCTGTTTGCTCCTTGCTGGAGCGTTTTGTATGGCTTTGAGGCATGATGATGATGATTCAAATCTGTTAATGAGGCGTTACAGTAAAACATGATGACACAAATTATGAGATTATTCTTTCAATTTTGGCTGGAGACCACAGTTTAGAAAGGTTCCTTAAATGTGTGAAACAGGAAGGAGACCGATTTTCATGTGATTCATATCCATCAAAGGACTGAATATTACACCAAGATTTAGAAAGCTGCACTTGGAAGCAGTCAGAATTAAACAATAGCCTGACTAGTTTAAGATCTATTCCAGGAGGAACTTGGACCATGGCCTCGGCCTGTTTAAAACAAGGTAACTGCTGGAAAGCTCCTCAGGACTCCTAGATGGGCAGTGAACGAGGTTGGATGGCATACCCAGCTAATGAGGTTTAAAAGACACAAACACTTGGATATCATCTGCATAAAAGCGATAAGAAATGTCATTAAAAGATTCCGTGATAACGGCTAAAGGAAGCATGTTAAAAACAAAAACAAAGTGGAAAAAAATAATAATGGTGGACTAGGAACCAACCCTTTTGGTATCCCACAGATTAGAGATGCCATCTTATTGACTATGACAGAGAAAGCTTTGTCAACTTATTTTCTAGTTGCATTTCTAGTTTAGTTTGAACTTTTTACTATTTTAAAGCTTCTCTGGAATTCTTGCTGGAGATGCTTTGGACCTTAGGAGAACCCCATCTAACAGTGATCTTAGACTAAGGGTCTGTTAGATTGATTCTGTTTCATGAGCCGAATGTGACCAGCTCCAGCGGTTGAACTGTGCAGATGATTCTGATTGTCAGCAGGGACTGACCCATACTCAGAAACGTTATCAGACATTTATGGTTCCTCATCTCTGAGCCCAGTTTTGGCTCCATAAAGCTCTGATAACATAGCGAAACACTGCGTTCATTTTCCAGCTTCTTCTTCTGCTGTTTGCTGGCTGTGGTCCTGAGAAATCTGCAGCAGGAAGTCCATCTTAAGATAAAAGATACACTGATCAGAAAGTTATAGGTCAATCCAGATTATCAGTTTTCCTTCAGGTTAAACCTGGAGATTCTTTTATTTCCAAGAACATTGATCACTCAAGAAAAATTGTTTAGAAAGTTTCCTGTTGGAGGAAGGAGTTCTGAATCCAACAGGAATTGAAGGAATTCCAGGTATCTTCCCCTTTTTTGGACCTGAGCATCTCTTCAGAACAGACATACAATTGTACATGAACTCGGAACCAAGAACTTTCTGCTTAGCTGTTTACAGACTCAAATCAGGACTGATCTTTAGGGAATATTTATATAGGAATAGTCGTGTTGTGTTCAGGTCCCTCTGAGGTTATTACGCCAGAACCTGTAGCGGACAAAGAAATCACAGGATTTCATAAACTTGGAAAGAGTTGAACAGGTCATGTTATATAACAGGACTCGTGCTGAGGTCTGGTGCTGGAGCTGCTCTGCAGGGATGGACCCAATCTGCAGCTGGGACCATCTGGAACATCCCTGAGGTCAAGATTGGAGGTGAACTTGTGCCGGGTCACCCGGATAATGTAGGATGGCCTAGATTGCAGGATTTGGACCCTTATTGCTTGATGGGGTTTCTAAGAATTCAGCTCACATTGTTTAAGAGCTGGCCCAACCAAAAGAAAACCGACCCCAGCTCCTGAGTCAGTGTTGTGGTGATGTCACGTGTTTGAGCCTCCATCACAAAGCTGCTTGTTTTGCTCCAAAAGCAGAAGTTCTGTGCTGTAGTGATTCATTCTGCATGTTGAAACTCGCTCTGAGAAAGTCTGAGCAAAGGATAGCCGGGATGCAGGGTTCCCAACCCTGAAATGATAAGTTCCAACTAGGTGCGGTGAAGACCATCCAGATAAATCGGCTGTCAGATTTTACTGAAGAGCAGAGCTCAGCCATTAATCCAAGCTGAATCCCAATTTTCTTTTCCTGACTCTTCCTGAAAGCACCTGATGTTTAACATTTCTATTTGTTCAGCTTTATGCTAACAAAGGTCAGCTGCCCAAACTCTTTACACTGACTCTAAAACCACAGAAAGGCTGGTCAGAACTAACAGTATAAATCCTCCCACCAGCCGATAGTATCCTGGTCAGCAAAGCTTTGGAGCTGACGGGAAGAATTTAGGAACGTTCAGCTCTGCATTAAAGAACGACTGGTGAAATGAAAGCAAACGACAGCAGATGATGGGGACATATAGTAGCAGGTCTGAAATGTTTAGTTCTGTTGAATTTACTCTCCAGGGATCTTTGTGAAGCGTTCTTTCTCACTTAAGACATTTCAAGTGAAAAGTCTTTAATTCCTAATTGTGATAAGAGAACCCGTTAAATAGTACCAGAGTCTATAGGAACAGCTGGTTTAGAGAAAAGTCAGAACCCAGTGTTTGTTTTTTTTTGTTTTTTAATGATAAAAGTTCCAGCTCTCCCGGCTGCAGCTCAGTTTTCTTTAATGTCCTGCTGATGGAACGGAGTTCGTTGTTCGTTTCTGACTCAAACTGACTTGGATCCGAGTAGTGCTGATCTGCTGCAACAGTTTTTTGACTGAACTTATTATCAAAGGTTTTTAAAATGAGAAGATAAAGCAGCGGTTCATTTAAGGAGTGAACCAGAACCCAGACCTGCAGCAGCGCGGTAAAGCACCTCAATATGTATGAGTGTTTATTGATTATTGAACAGTGGTGCTCGTGGTAAGGTGACCTGTGGACCTCAGAGAAGCTGCAGCCTGCAGCCCTTATCTTATCAGCCGTGATTAGAAAACAGGCCAGTTGGCAGTCTTAAAGGTTCCTGATAGCTGCACCCCAGCCCGGCACGAGGGTCGGAATAAAGGTCGGAGCCGCACTGCCGCAGCTGATGCTCCTCTTCAGGTGATAATTGTTATCTTGTAGATCCCAGTACAGGTGAACACATGGTTCCAACACAGCAGGAAGATAAAGGGGACACGTCCCAAACATCTGGCAGATTATACCTGGCTCACAAATACACATGTGCTGCAACACATAGATGCAGATAAACTGCAGTGACCTGTTGGCCCACATGTAGACAAAGAAAAATGCCGACTTTGGGAGACATGTTCATAAACCCAAAGGAGACAGAAGGCCTGAGAAGGACTCCTGTTCCCCAGCCTGTTTCACAGCTGCTGGTCAGTCAGGAAGCTGGTGATTCACTGACAGGTGGATCCTACATCAAATGGGCAGGAGATGTAGGATTTAATTCAATGATGTCACAATTTCTGCCTGAAACTGAATGTTTTAATAAGTTCTTCAGCACTTGGTTCAGCTACCTTTCATTTGGAGCCAAAAATGGGAATCGATCAGGAGAAAAGCTTGTAGAATAACCTTTGCTTTGTCAGAATTGGTTCCTTTTTCGTTGTTTTGGTGATTTTAAAATGTCCTGTTTTAATAAATTAATGAAGATTTAACCAAACCTTGCAGAAAACATGTAGAACCATCAATAAACAGCTGTAATGTTTCTGTTTTTTATTGTTTTTTATTTTCCTTCAGCTATAACCCTTCATCTCCTTTAATAACACTTTTTTTTTTCACTTCCTGTTTTCACTTCCTGTCTGCAGGCCACTTTCCCAACAAGGCCATGCCTTCAGCCGGAACCCTGCCGTGGATTCAGGGCATCCTCTGCAATGCCAACAACCCATGCTTTAGACACCCAACGCCGGGCGAGTCTCCAGGCATCGTTGGAAACTTCAATGACTCCATGTGAGTCTGTGTGAGCTGAGGGCTTTATCCTGAAAAGCTAGAGAGATTTTATTGCTATTGATAAACCGCTTTATTAGAATTTGATATGGAGATTAATTAAACTTCCATCAGACTGGCAGGTATTCCTTGATCCACAGAGTCCCAACTTAAAGTTCTTTCTAAGCTTCAAGATCATGACTTTTAGTATTTTTAGTGAACATTGCAATAAATGACAGATTCATTAAGTTAATTCTTGTTTCCCTTCTGATAAAGAAGCAGCAGTTCTTCAGTATTGTTGTAGTTGAGTAAACAATAATGATTAAAGTTTGAACTGATCTGTCAGATTTAAGCTGAGCAAAGGTCATCTTAATTAAATTCTAAAATGTTGAAGTTTTTTTACATTAACAAATCCTAATTGAATTAACAAAAATGTATTGGATTTGTAGTTTTGGAAGTTTCTGTGATATTAAGCGTTAAATAAAGCATCTGAATTTTTTGTTTTAGAATTGTTTGGAGTTCTGTCAGTTTCTAAATAAACTCCTTTTGCGAGTCGCTCTGGAAAAGCTTTTTAATCCTACACTTCAGCTCCTCATCAGGGATTGTCTGGAACCTCCTGGAATCTTTTCAGTTCCTCTGCTGTCCAGATTTTCCTTTTCAGCTTGGTACCAGTTCTTTATTTAAAGTAAACACTGCTGTATTTCTGTGTTAAATTTTCAGAATATCTCGCTTGTTTTCGGATGCAAAGAAGATCCTGCTGTACAGCCAGAATGATAAAAACCTGGAGGGATTTAAAGAGCTGGCTCAGGCCCTGGAAGTTCTGCAGAACAGCCGCTCAGGTAGGAACCGCTCCAAGGTCTGGTTTGGGCTCAGCTTGTCAGAGTAAGACCAGAAGGAGGAGCTGGCCTCTGCAGAGGTTTTCAGGCTCACTGAACTAAAAGAATTTGGCTCTTTTGTGTATTAATTTGTGTCTCAGCGTGGGATGTGTTTCTCTTTTCTACCTGCTCCAACCTGCCCCCCCATGACGGAACATCAGAACTTTTGTTCTCTCTGATCTGATGAACTGTGGTGTGCGATTGGTTCAATGTGGCTGGTGTGATGAGGGGGCGGGGAGATGTGCTGCCACAGGCTTACATTCATATTGGGATCAACTCACCTGGTCATACATATAAAACCATTGAGGCCTAGTTGTTCATGATGTTGAAGAATATGTGTATTAGGTGAACTGCACAGTGAGGTTCTAATTTGGACTTCCAGAAGCTTTCCCATGAGCCCTGTTTCTGAGGCAGAAATGTACAACGAAAGTCATTTTGAGAAACTCCACCAAAAAGACCAGTTCATACTCAGAACTCTTCACATTCAAATTTCAGCCTGACTATAACTACAGTGCAAGCACACCAGTTGATGATGACATGCGCCTGGAGGGGGAAAAAATGTATAGAACCTTGCAACCCTGCCTCCTGAGCAAGACTGGGCTCTCTTTTTTTGTAGGATGGAGCCTCTAGTAAAACAAGAACTCAGTGTGAGCAGCCCTCTGCAGCAAAAGTGTGGAAATAAAAAAGAGACGCAGTTCTTTCCATGTTAAAACCTGAAAACATGAGCTAAATGGCACAAACAACTTCAGGTGTTGAATAATTAGAGAACAGGAGGTGAAATTAGCAGAACAGGGAAGAAGTCGTCTCTATGTCCTCCAGCAGCCGAAGCCTATAGCAGCATAACTACAGAAATGGGTCAGGATAACTTGAGTCACTCTAACTATAAACTTAATCAAAAAATAATAATTTTTAAGCCTAGTCTTAAAAACAGAGTGTCCACCTCATAAATTGAAACTGGAAGTTGCTTCCATACGAGAGGAGCCTGAAAACAAAAACTCAACAGGCTTCACATAGGCTTGCTTTGCTCCACCCTGCCCGCATTGTAAGTATTTTCATTACTGCCTTTTTTCTTGCAAGCTCAGGAGGAGGTCCAAATGGACCTGTGTAAGTGCTGACGCCTGACATGAATGAATGAATATTATTTACTGACGGGGATCAGGAAAAATATTGAGGTTTATGCTGGCAAGGTGAAAGGAAAAGTTCAACTGAAGAGCACAATGAACGGAGAGTGTCAAACCCAACATTATTTTACTATGTAAAAACCTTAAACCATGCCTAAGGAATAATAAAAGAAACTTTGGCTTACTAAATTATACACAGGCGGGTGCTCTGTAAATGATAACCTAAATCTGTTCCCTTAAGTCTTTCTAGTATTTAACAGATGCACGCCGTCATTCCAGGGCCAGCTGCTCTCTTCTGTCATGACTCAAAAATCAGATATGACATGTCTCATCTGTGTAATCTGGTACAATGATCTGACATTACTTCTTTTCTGTGGATAACAGACCCTGAAAGTTGTTCATTTTTGTTTTTAAAGAGTGTTTGTTTCGAAACCATGTTCATGGTTAACAGAGCCACTGTATTTGCGAGGAGGGGGTTCCACTGGATCCCCAATGTGTGAATATCCAATACCTACCCTAGAGCTAATTTTAAAGTCCCTACCTTATTTTTTTTTTTTTTTGCCATGGCTCAAGGAAAAGCTGTATTATAAACCCCAAAATTATAACTTTAGGGCAGATCAGATTGTGATATATTTAGATTTTCTGATTCTCTTGCACAAATCATCAAATTAAAACACTGCAGAGCAGCAGTGCCTTTTACTACTTCAGGCTAGTCTGTGATCTGGGTGGCTAAGTCATTTTGTACATAAGGATATTCAGGACCAGCTTGACTTAGACTAAGCAGCCTCTCTTTCAGATGTTTTGGTTCAGACAATAACCATTCTCTTCTCAGAATTTAAAAGCAGAATAATTAAAGTTATCCAGGTTTTCATTTCTTCATACACACTTGTATCACCCTGTGGTAACAGATTTAGCATTAACATGAGCAAGCTGAAATAATTTAGACAAATGAGATTCAGACCGGCCGAGTGCTGCTTCCATAATCCCTATAGCAGGTTCAAACCTTCCTCTAAGAATATTGTGATTTATTGGATCAAAAGCAGCACTGAGATCCAACAGGGCAAGTACAGATGCAAGTCCATTTGCTGAAAGGTCCAGCAGCAGGCAGAACCTGTCTGAGGTGTCGTGCAGTGAGTTTAATGGACTCAGTGAACTGGGGACACTGATTCAAGCTGACTTCTCTCTCTGTAGGAGCTCATTTAACCAATCACATCACTGGAATTTGCTGATGTGACACAACTGGTGTGATCCTCTGACCCGCCAATAACTGTCCTAAAACACAGAACTTTCTGTCCCTCTGTGGCCCCTGTACCTCAGCTTGTGGAGATATGCAGTCACTGCTCATCAGTTTCAGCAAAAATTAAAATAGTGGTGGTCATGCAATGTTCTACATGTTGTCCAGCCTCTGCATAGGGAGTCACCTTGACAAAGGTTCTCTATTTGAGCTTCCGACCCAGAATTCGGGATGAATCTTTTTGGAAATTAATTTGGAGATTGGCAGGTGTCAGAGATGCTCTCTTCTGTGACATAATCTTCCTCTCTGCTGGAAGATGAACCTCAGATGGTTTGAAGATGACCTTTAACTCCTCACTGGTTGAAGAGCAGCATCTGTTCCTGCTCTAAGGTCATTGCTGTTGTATTTCCAGCTTTGCATTGCTAAACACGCACCTGGATTTTGCAGAGGTGCTCACACTACTGATTATCAGTTTATCAATAATTGGCTCCTTCCTTTCTGCTTCTCCAGGACCTAAAATGTTCGGTCAGGTTCTGCTGGCCCAGTTTCTCCCTCCCTGCTTCAGGTGATGTTGACCTGAGAACCAGGTTCTGTTCATCTGATCTTTAATCATCAGAGAAAGATGACTGGGTTCCAGTTCTGGCTGATGTGTTTTATGTATTTTTGGTTTCTTTGTGCATTAACTAATATTCAATTCAATCCATGAATGATGTTCTGACTGGACCCGGGAAGCAAACTATAAAAAGGTCCAGACCTTCAGCTCTAAGCTGGGTGAACCTTCAGCCGCCTGTTGAGACCTGCAGTCGGAAGAGGTGGGCGTGTGCACAGGGGCTTCATTCACACGAAATGATAGAAGTCAGTGGAAATTTTCCAAACATGTGAAGACCTGCTCCTCTGAAGCTGAGCCTAAGTTCTCAGCTATAACTCCAGGTGTTTTTAAATTCCCACAAATAATGTAGACACTTCCTGGTTCAGCTGAATTAAGGATGATGCAGAGTCACCATAGTTTATCATGAAACCATGACAACAGGTTTGGTTTCATCAACTGCACCTCTCGGATGTTTTCTCCCCCTCTGTGGTTTGTGATTGGTTATTGATCCTTGGGAATATCTTATAGGAGCTTTAACTCTGGGTGAGTGCTGTCATACATGAGGTTTAGTGGAACCAGATAATCCTGAAAATTTCGAATTAAAACATCAGATTTAATCATGCAGCCTGCTTTCAGACCAGTAAAACTTCTCCTGCTGTCTGTGGACATTAACATGTCCCTGCGGGGACTGATCCCTGTACAGTTGAAGCACAAAGGCTGACAATTTAGAGGAGGAGGACGACGACGACGTGTCGGGTTTCTCTGAGCTGTTCTGTTTGTCTGTTTTTTCCTCTCACAGGCTTCAAGTTAAAGCATTTCCTGCAAGACAATGAAACTCTGTCAAGCTTTCTGCAGTGGAACGCCTCCTTGTCCCAACACAGCATCCAGGAGATCATAGAGGCAGACGTTAACCTGGAGAGGGTGAGGAAACTCACTGTATAAGCTCAGTGTGGACACAAGTTCACAAGATGATGAGTGAATGAAGCACTATGTCAGATTAAACCTGTGAGATAAGTAGCCTTAGATACTGTCTCAGCTCCTGGTCTCCTCTGGTTTATGTCTCAGGTCCTCCTCAAAGGTTTCGGGGTTCACTTGAAGAACATGTGCCCAAGGAACGGTGGAACAGACGCCTTAGGGGACTTTGTGACGATCTCAGACCAGCAGGTGGCGTTGCAGGTGCAGGAGTTCCTCTGTCGAGCTCCGCCCACCTGGCTGGACATTGCTGAGGAGCACTTTATGAGCAACCTGGACTTCTTCAAACCCATTCAGGTAAGAACAGAACCACTCCTGTAAGTTCAAGGAACCGGATTGGTTGTCCTAAAGGTGAGGTGAAGTGAAGTGACTCCTCCCAGTATCAACTACGAAGATCGCTGCAGGTTTCTTCGGCACGAAGAGGAGTAGATACTGAATCTATAAACCCCTCTGGATCCGCAAATCCTATTCATAAGTAATCCTGCTCAGGATTGAGAACCCAGAGACCTTAAGTCTGCCAGGTTCTACCCTCTGTGCTGCCTTATCCAGTCACCCTGAACCTAGGTCACTAATTTCAGGACGAGAATCTCTTAGATCTGTTTTATTGGAGAAGAGTTTGTTTGAAACTCTGTTTCAGGTACATTTATGTCAGCTTTTAGCTTCCAGAGGGACCAGAGCCTCACCCTGAGATGTTTCTTAAACAGTTCAGTCTAGATCAGGTGTTTCTGGGACAGGTTTTTAGGTGGCATTCCAGGAATAGAAATTGGCCAAAAGCGGAACCAGTTAAGTTCTACTGAAAACAGACCAGTGTTCCCTGAACTAGAAGTTTGTATAGGTATTCTGGGCCCTCAGTATGTCTGTCTGGCAGATCTAATGCAGAGTTCTATTGAGTTCTGTTGTGTAGTGGGTCCTCCCCCTCCTGGTCCCAAGGTCAGGTGACTTAAGCAGGTGAGCTCAGAGTGCTTTGTGTGTGTGGGAGGATACGTGCCACGGCCTGCCTGCTGCGCTGCGCCTTGCCTCTCTGTGGGCCTGGTTTTTGTAGCCTGGAGACCCATTTTAAATGATCTGAAGCCTCTAAAGAAACAGGGTGTCACAGAGGCTTTGGACTCTTTTGTCTACTGAAATATATGAGTGGCACGTCAGCAAGTTTCTATGGAAATGGAGAGATTTCTAAGAGCCTCTGAGGTTAGCTGAGGACCTACTGTACAGCTAAACGTCACCACGTTCCAGGAGGAACAATTCAAGCCGATTCAGTTTATTTATACATTGGATAAAAAGGACTAGAGGGTAAACACAGCTAGTAACGGTAAAATCTGAGCCTGTAGCTGTGTAGGAGAATGGACTAAACTGTGAAAAACAGACCTCTCTATGATCTATAATGGATGATGACAAAACTGATGCCTCCCTGCAGGATGGTGTCTTAGAACACCAGACCAGATGAAGCTACTATACAAGAAAAGGTGGAAAAAATATAAAGTAAAAAGTTGAACAGAAATATGAATGAAGATAAGTAGAACTAAGCAGAGTGAGGGGAAAAAATGTAGTTTGTCCTCCAGCAGCGTAAGCCTGTAGCAGCCTAACTATAGGCTATAAATACTGATACTTATGCTGTGATCAGAGGATAGCTGAATGCATAAACATGTCCCCTTGGTGTTACTAGTCCTTCTCTGTGCTTGGGTAATAAATGGAGATGGGATCCATTTTCACCAAAATTGAAAAGTGGCAAATAAACTATTATTAACAATACAGAACAGAAAAGGTCAAGACTAGACTAGGAGGGAGCTGAGTGAGAAGGATGAAGTGAAATCTTTACAGGATGGTTAAAGGAAAAAAAAAAAAAAAAGTTATATATACAAACATCCCAAGTCTGCCGGAAGTTTCGGCAGTCTCCCTGATATAGATGGTTCTTCACGGATGCCGGCGAGTCGAATAAATTATCCCCGATTTTAGACTATGCAAGGTGTTTTTTTTTTTTTTTTTTCTTTTCTTTATGCAAGTGAGAGTGTGCAGGCAATACAATAATTTGTGCATCATGTGCGGATTAGGACTACTTTGATTGCACAGGCACAACAAGAGACAGCGGGTGTGGGAAGGAGGTTACTTGTGAAACCTGTCTGTATCTGTCTAAAGCGATGCTCTGTTCAACGAGCGTTCCAGGCGACTGGTTGTCAGAGAGTGTGCTGGTTGGATTAGTCAGAGAAATAAGCCAGTAAGTTTCTGTTGACTCTCTAAATAAATTTTTTATATATATATATATATATATATATATATATATATATATATATATATATATATATATATATATATATATATATATATATAAATAATATAAAAACAAACAAAACAAAAAAAAGAAATGCAATCAACTGCTGAGTCATTTTTCATGAGTCATTTCTTGGATAGGTTACTTTTTATTTTCTAGAGAATGAAGAAGGGAAGCCTAAACATTTGTTAAATATGGAATTTAAATGACCAGTCCTGATGAAAGCTAACATCTAGTTTTTTTTTTAAATTGTTATCAGTGACCAAGTTCATGCTGTCTGGAGGAAATGGCTCTGATTCCTAGTTTGGTTCTTAGATGGGTTCTGAACTCCGTTCTAAGCTGAGTTCTGTATTTTTCTGATGCTAAATTAAAGCAGAAACGTCCATCTGGGATCCAGTTTCTCTCAGAAGTTGATGTTGAAAACTGAAGTATCCATTTGTGTTTTTCAGAGGGATGTCCGGTCCGACCCTGAAGCGGTCCAGCGGGTCGCTAAAGCTGCCAACAACCTACTGGAAAGTCTGGGTTTTCTGGCAGTCGAGGTAAGACTCCTGATTGGCTTAGCTGTCATTCAGCGTTCTCTTATCAGCATAGAGGAACCATGTCCTGCAGCTGGAGGTGTCCCCCTGTGGACCATCGGGGCCAGTGGGTTTTCTTGGCGGCTCTCAGAGTCCCTGCCAGTCTTTGTGTCCAGATGAAAGCAGCAGAGATGGACGAGCTCACAGCTGAACAAAGACTGGAATGTCTCAGCAGGTTCCTTGTCCCTTCATGGAACAAAGCAACAAACACTCAGCATCCTGCTGAGACGCTGCAGACTGCAGGGGACACGCATGGGAGAGTCACGGAGTTCATTCAGTCCACCCAGGACTGCTGCTGTCAGAAGCAGTCCTATTAGAACCAGTGTTGGAGATGCATTCAAATGAATAAGCCTGTCTGCTGGGTCCTTGGTCTGCATGAAGCCGAATGTTCTTTAATGTTCTCAAAAGACCCTCTGAGAACCAGATTATCTGGATTCTGCTGACTGATTTGGAGACTTTAGACTGTTTTGGTTTGAATACAGATGGAGCCATGCCAGGTTCAGGGATTTTTTTTTATTATTAACCATATCTTCTTCTTCACATTACGTCCTTCTGTTTGGATGGGGACATAATATCACGTGTGAAGCAAAACATTGGAAAGGTTCTGTAGAAAGAAGATAACCAGTTATCATCCAGTTCCTATGACAGCTGTTTCAGCCTTTGTTAAACCAAATGAACAGATATTGCTTTGTAGGAAAGCAGGGAAGCTGATGTGTACTTTCAGGTTCACAAGCCCTGTTTGAGGCTTAACTCTGCCTTAATGACTTTAGAAAGTTCTGAGTGGTGGGAACAGGTTGGAGGAGGTTTGACAGGGTGAAGTCCAATCCTGATGGCGGTACACCAGACTGATAGACCATTCTGCAGAGGAATCCTATCAGATCTTATTGATTCAGACTTGGAAATGTTTTTGAGGACAAACAGAAATTTCTTTAGAACATTGAGGTCTCATTAACAAAACATGGCTTGGAATCCATACTTAAACTACGGCTGAAAATGGAGTAGGCAAAAAAAATAAAAAAATACCCTGATTTCTAAAAATATGCCCGCACATAAAAACCAAGTAAACACAGCTGTAACTCAGACTTCCTATCCCTTTTCACACCTACATTAAACCATATAAGGTCCATGCAAAGCCCTGCATTAAGATCACTGTGAACCATTAGTGTTGTTTTAATGGTTACTATGCGACCACAGCCAAGAGAACACAGAATTTTTCAAAGGCAGAAATGGACGTTGGTTAGGGAACGTTTACAGGCAATTTTTGCTGGCTGTAAAATTATGAGAATCAATTTCATTGATTAATTTATTTCCTAAAAGTTGCCTCAGCCAGAGAGTAGGTTTATTATTGATTAGATTTGACAATTCCTGGCGAATTCACACTGCTAAGAGGCATTTCTCAGTAAATCCAGAGAGGTTAACGGGTGTAACTAATGAAAAACAGGGAAAAAAGACCAAAAAATAATGGAAAGCACATATAAATAGGATTTAATGAGGGCAAAAATGGGCTTGTTTTGCCTCATTCATCTTAATATATATATATTTCCTAATCTTTTAGGGATTAGTTTAAAACCTTAATAAACAGACTTGAGCAATGGAACCTTGTCCATTTTTTAACAATATCAAACAGGCAAAATATTTATACCTATAATTCATGAATATATTTTAAATTCTATGTTTACGGCTTGTTTTATATTTGTGTTTTTTTGAGAATTGTGCACCCAAGCTTTCCTGTTTGTTGGTTTTGTGCAAAAGCACGCTTTATAAATCAGAGGGTTTTCCCCTCAGGCGTACAGAGGGTACTGTCCAGTTTTTATGCTATCCATGTAGCTATCTGGGTCATGAATGCACCCAGAGTCAAATCTTCATCAACAAGTCTGCAGCTCCAGGACCTACTTGTCCAGTTTTTTGGTTCTTTGGATCCTTATGTCTCCATTGCAGCAGTAGAACAACCTGTGTCTAGATCCAAATAACATCACAGATCCTCTCTGGAAATGTGTTTGGTAAAAGAGGCCTGATTCATATCTAGTTTGGTGCAGAGGGTCCTAAGGAGAAAGAGCTTCTCCGAAGAAGCCCAGCAAATTGCAGATGATCTTTAAGTTGTGAAAGCACTCCTCAGCCATAGTTCCTTCTAAGCAGGTGTTCATTGTTTTAGATTCCTTCAGTAAATGATGGGTCAACACCAACAAAAGGAATCTGATTAGCCTGGAGCGAAATTCTAGATCACTTCATGAAGATGGATCTGTAAAATACTCCAGCTCATGTACTCCGGTCAGCTGCAGATTCCATCTTCTGGGTTCTTTTCCATTTCCTGCAATTCTATCGAGCTGTTTGTCTGTCGTTTTTCTGATGCAGGTTGATGTCTGAGGTTTCCTGCCTGGATCGTATTCTGCCTACATAACAAATGATCTCAAATCAGGTTTCTGTAGAAATAAATTGAACTCCAACTCCATGGACCATTTTGATTTCATCTTTAGCTCCTCCTAAAGGGGAAGGGAAGAGGTGCAAGAGTTCCTGCAGATAAATAAATGAAGCTGATCATGATAAGATCTGGACCCTGTTGGCTGAGAGCTGAACCTCTGATCTGAGTCCAACCACTCATATCCAAAACTAACCTAATGTTATGATGGGAGTGACGTCCTCCTCCTCAAAGATGTGACTCAGAAACAGCCGCCAGGCTGAGATCTCTGAAGTGGTTTCACTTCTGCTTTCTAATGGTCCGACCTGCAGTTACCTTAGACTGCTTTACCTCAGCCCATAGATGACCTGTCTGTTTTCACAGCTGGCTGTTCGTGCAGATGTTCATCTTGTCTTGCAAATGGTTTGTAGGTTTTCTTGATGTGCCTAGGCTGCCTCCAAGGAGCTACTCTGATGCAGATCTATGCTAGATGAATGTGACGGAAAGCTTTTTGTTGTTTTATTTTCCTTTAAGGGTGATCCACAACCCCAACTTTTTTTTATTTATGTATTTACTGTGGTGCCAATGCAGAAAATATCCTAAAAATGGATTTGGGTAAAAAATGTTCCATAGTTCCACTCCCAGAATCCCTGCAGCTGGTTTTGCAAACTTTGGGAGTTTTTTTTATTTCAAACAGTTTTTGTTTAGTTTAGTTTTTCTGAAGATCCAACGTTTACCATCTTGTCTCTCCAGATTTATGCACATGTATGTTTTTACTTTCAATGCTAAATAAAAAAAAACTTGATTTTCTGCCCTGAAACCCAGAACTGAGCTGTACCCCCCCCCCCTCATCCAGTCTCACCGTTCTCCCTGGTTCCTCTGCAGCTGGCCGGAATGAAGAGCTGGGTGGACCTGAGGAATGAGATCATCTTCCTGACGCAGAACGCCACGTCATCCCCCAGCGTCTTGTACAAGGCGGTCTCCAGGATCGCGTGTGGTCACCCCGAGGGTGGCGGACTGCAGATCAAGTCTCTGAACTGGTATGAAGACAGCAACTACAAGGCTCTGTTTGGGAACCACAACAGCAGTGAGGACGACAACTCGGTGTTCTACGACAACACCTCCAGTGAGTCCTTCAGTGGTTTGGCTGCTTTCATTCAGCACTTCTATGACGCATATTTGATCTTCTAGGTCTCATAGATCCATTTCTAATGTGATTTGATCCAACATCACAATGAAAATAGAACCTCAAGTTGCATTTAAAGACTGACTGTAAATTGCAGTTTCAGATTGGGAAGGAAGGAGCTGTGAGTGTGTCTAGTTCTGATCCTCAGACCTGTTTGTGTTTGTAGCTCCATTCTGTAACAGCCTGGTGCAGAAGATGGACTCCAACCCAATGTCCCGGATGATCTGGCAGGCCCTAAAGCCTCTGCTGCTGGGGAAGATCCTGTATACCCCCCACAACCCTGCCACTCAGAGGATCATTCATGAGGTAGGATGTCACCGTTGGTGTCGGCTGCAGAGCTTCTTGTCCTGGTTAAGGCTGAACCCGTTACCAGCATATGGGCAGAAGTCATTTTAACAGTGAATTGGTCAGAACCGGAACAGCTGCATCAATCAGATCAAAAATCTGTTCCCCTACAGGGGTGGGCTAGCTCAGGGTGGAATAAAAGATGGAACTGTAGGCTGGGATAGAAATGTTCTGTGTGCTTCTGTGGTGCCTTCAGGTGAACCGGACCTTCCAGGAGCTAGGTGTGTTCAGGGACCTGGGCAGCATGTGGGAAGAGATGAGACCCAAAGTCTGGGACTTCATGGAAAACAGCCAGCAGATGGATCTGATGAGGGTAAACAGGCTCCATCCACTCCCTCACTTTATCCCTGGTGTTTACAGGTCAAGGTGGGGCCTAAGAGGCTCCACTATGACTATAAATGTCAATATAGACGTCTGAATGTCAGTCAATGACTTAAATCAATTTAAGATTTTTTTTACGATCCAATGTTTCATCTGTGAGAATGAGTTAAGGAGGTACAACTTTCTAAGACCTCCAAGTCACATATTACAAGTACAAATCAACTCCTGATGAAGCTGTTGCACTCCTTACCACTTGGTGGTGGTAAAGCACCTGAAAGTAGTTCACCAACCGCCTTTAAACGAGAAGAAGACCAAAACATAGCCATCAATTGAACAATATTCAAGCCTGCCTTGAAAACATTTCAGCAAAGATATAACGGGTGCATTTGAATTCATGGGCTGTGTCTTCGAAGGGATGCAAATTTAAACACGTCCAGCGTTCCATGGCTTTCACCAACGTATGCTCTGTCGCTTAGCAACCGTGTCAGTTGAAGTTTAGATTCATAAATGATTTATACTTGAATTAATTAATTATTAATTTCATTTCAAACAAACATAAATCGTATACGTACATAAATTGTAATCCATGTATCTCATAAATCAATTAAATGAAATTTCGAAAAGGGGGTGAGAAGACGTTTAGGAATTTTTTTTTTGTTTTTTTACTTCTACCCATTTATACCTTTGTTCAATTTTCTTTTACCACATACGATACATTTGTTACATATGTAAGAACTTTTGATGGCACTTGTAGTTTTTTTAAATTGTATTTTTTGTAACTTGTATTCTCACAGCTTAAACATCTGCCAATTCCATGTATGAACTGATAAGCAACTTATATAGATCTTAAATTTAATTTTGCATACTGACTTATATTTACATTTAGACACCGACACATAATTTTTTTTATTGTCAGTGTGCTCATAATCTAATCCAACCCCTTACTCACCTCTTTCGCTCGTTCCCTTCTATTATCAATAGGCCTCAATCCTCTTGATTGTTGCAAAAACAAAGAAATTGATTTTGTTTTTGGTTGCTCTAATCACATTATACATTTCAACATAAAAATATTTCCTCAATAAAAAATGGCGTAAGGGGATGTGTGTGTTTTTCACAACCTAACCTTTTTTTAATCTATTAAATGCATCACCGTTCAGGATAAATGGATGTCTCCTTATTTCCTCTTTTTCTTCTGGATCCTCTCAGACTTTTCTGAAGAACAACATCACAGCAAGCGTCTTCCACGCTCGGCTTGTTGACACTGATTGGACTGTGGCTGATGTCTCCAACTTCTTGTCCAATGAGCCAGTGGCTCAGCGTGGCGGCGCCCTCACCTGGAGGGAGGTGTTCAATGAGACAGACAAGGCCATCATGAGTATATCGCAATTCATGGAGGTCAGTAATTTCCTGCTGGTTCTGATCCCGCATCACGCCAAACCTGGTGTGTTTTTGTTTTGTTTGTTTTTTTTACATCAGAAACAACTGAGACCTGGTTTGACTCGTTTACTATGGACGGAATTAACACCTGATATGTAGTCTTTGTCTGATGAGCCTAACCCCTCCCACTTGCTTCGTTCTCTTCAGGGCTCCTCCAGCTCTTTTTAACAGCAGCATCTTCTCTTTCTTGCTTTATCTTGTCCATGACACATCAGTTGTTTATTTGAACATGCAAATACTGATGGTGTTGAGCTGTAGTCACAGACTGACAAAAAAAAAAAAAAGAAAGAAATCTGGTACGGAGGCTCTAAATAAGTCCAAAGGATGCTGATACTGAGGGATACTTAATGAAGCCTTTTGAGGGAGGAAGGAGAGGCTCTTTGGCCCAATCAGGATGAAACGTAAAAGATCATCTTAGTGAATTCATGGATGAAGAATGAAAGGCAGACCTGAAGTCCGTCTTCTGATTGGACGCGCTGCAAAGACGGAGCACATCCAGTGAAGGGTTGAGACGGTCGGTAAAATGTTCGGTTTTAGATGGTAACCAAAACTTAGAGTTGATGAGTCACCCAAGCAGCTTATGCTGCTGTAAGCACTTCAGCAAAATACTCTTTCTGGAAGAATCCATCAGTCAGTCCTTCTGCAGAACACAACTTTAACAGTGACAGTATGGATTTTTGCACTAACTTTTTGTTGATAACCAAAGTTAGGTCTGGAGTCAGAAGAACAGAACTGGACCAGCTACTGCTGCTAGGTTCACTGACCACTTTCTCTCAGGTTGGGGTGTAAGAGCAGCTGATGCAGCAGCTTCCGTCCTCCTGTAGAGGTCCTCTACAGGGAACAGTTGGCTGATTTGTTCCTCCAATCTGCTCCCAATAGGTCCTTTTATTCATGTGGTGTTTGTTTATTGGTCACCTGTCATCTCCCACTTACTAACCGTGTTGTTTAGAAGCTGAGTGAGCACAGCACATAGTTTGACTGATGATCTCATCTTTGGTCTCAGTCAAATTTCCAAGAAACTTTCTCAGCATCTTTTCATGTCTAAGCTTTTTTTTCACCCAGGAAGCCTCCTCAGTGGGAAATCCACTTCCTCTTTGTTTCTTTTCTTACCATTGTTGAAACATTACTTCTTCTTTCCACACTTTACATAGGATTATTAACTCTTTACACAGTTTTAGTCCTCTATCATAATCAGGAACACTTTAAACAAACTATTCTTTTCTATAGAATCACATTTTTTTTACACCAGGCAATCAGAGTAATCAATCACCATGGCTCTATTTGACAGATTTTATGATTCATTCCCCTAAAACTATGCAAAGGTCTCAGGTTGTGAATACTTTATATTGTGATTATCAGTTTTTGCAGTGACATATGGGAAGATCTGATCTTATTTACTCACTGCTGATGTCTTTGTCAGTGTGTGAACCTGGACAAGCTAGAGCCCGTCTCTAGCGAGGAGCAACTCATCAACCGCTCCATGCTGCTACTAGAGAACAGGAAGTTCTGGGCTGGGATAGTTTTTCCCGACATCGCTCCAAACGCCACCAAGCTCCCACCTAAAGTGGACTACAAGCTCCGCATGGACATTGACAACGTGGAGCGGACCAACAAGATCAAAGATGCGTAAGTTTATGATGGATTGTTACTATCTGGTTCTAGACAAAGTTTACTTCTGAAACTGGTTGCGGTTCCTTTCCCTGCCTAAACCTGGACCTAACTGCCTGCTCAGCCTTCATGTAGCAGTGGTTCCTTCTTGTTGGAGTTTTTTCTCCCCCCAGACTTCAGTGTTCCGTTTTCTCTGTCCTCTTCCTAATCCTCAGGTACTGGGACCCTGGTCCTCGGGCTGACCCATTTGAGGACATGCGGTACATCTGGGGTGGGTTCTTGTACCTGCAGGACGTCATTGAGCAGGGTATCATCAGAGCAGTGACGGGCACCAAGGAAAAAACCGGAGTATACATCCAGCAGATGCCATATCCATGTTACGTGGATGACATGTAAGCATCGAGTCAGAGTACAGAGTCTCCTCCTCACACTCTCACTGTCTTACATGTCCTCCTTGCTGTCCTTATCTATTGCAGCTTCCTGCGGGTGATGAGCCGCTCCATGCCACTCTTTATGACCCTGGCCTGGATGTACTCTGTGTCCATCATCCTAAAGAGCGTGGTTTATGAAAAGGAGGCCCGGCTGAAGGAGACCATGAGAATTATGGGCCTGAATAATGGCATTCTGTGGTTGAGCTGGTTCATCAGCAGCCTGGTGCCTCTGCTGATCAGTGCTGGACTGCTAGTCCTCGCCCTGAAGGTAACTTGCCTAAAACACCCAGCCATCCTGGAGCTGAAGGTGTTAGGCAGTTTTAAGTGGTTTCCAGACTAAAGGATCAATATAAAGTAAAAAAAAAAAAATCAGGAGCAAAGTTCTGTCACCCATGCTGAACTATTTCCTCGCCATCATTGTTTTTTGCAGAAGGGGAACCTGCTGCCTTACAGCGACCCTGGCATCATATTCCTCTTCCTGGGATCTTACGCCGTTGTCACCATCATGCAGTGTTTCCTCATCAGCACAGCGTTTGCTCGCGCTAACCTGGCCGCTGCCTGCGGAGGGATCATCTACTTCACCCTTTATCTGCCCTACGTCCTCTGTGTCGCCTGGCAGGACTACATCGGATATGGAGTCAAAGTGTTTGCTGTGAGATGCTCCACTTTTCCTTTGATTTGCTGCCGTTACTCCAGGTGTTTGCTGGCCAGTATAGATCACATGTCCTGTCGCCCTTCAGAGCCTGCTGTCCCCAGTGGTGTTTGGGTTTGGCTGCGAGTACTTTGCTCTGTTTGAGGAGCAGGGGGTTGGGATCCAGTGGAAGAACCTGGTATCCAGTCCTCTTCGGGAAGACGAGTTCAGCCTTCGCACCACCATCATTATGATGTACTTTGATTCCTTCCTGTATGGAGTCCTCACCTGGTACATAGAAGCCGTCTTTCCAGGTAACGTTTTTCTCTCTGAAAGGTTCTGGATTCCTGAACCTGGTCCTCTGATGGTTGACCTCTGTGCTGGCTGTCTTCAGGTCAGTATGGGATCCCTCGGCCGTGGTACTTCCCCTTCACCAAGTCCTACTGGTTTGGAGAGAAAGGAAGTTCCGACAAGATTCCCCTGAGTAGAAAAGGAAACGCTGCAGGTTAGAAATTCTTAAAACTTACCTGCAACACATGAGACCATTGTGATAAGACATTTTTAATTAGCAAAAAGGATAATACACTGTTTCAACAGAAAGAAACCATTGATCTTGGCTTTGAGTTTATTCAAAGGCAAAAAGCAGCCCCTGAAGGCACATATTGCAAGGATCAGTGAACATTGTGCCCTGACTTGGGTTTGATCAGGCTTTTTAACATCTGAGGCAAACAAACATTTGGTGAGAAAAACACGTGTAGAAACAAAATGATCAGATGCAAGAAGACACAACAACCTTTAGGAGACATGGGTAATAAAACTCTGGCATCTGAACCCAGGTGATAAATTCCTCTTCAAGGGCAGCCTAGATGCAGGGAGAGTTGGTAGAATAAGTTGGTTTAGAAAATGCAAATACAACAGCATCGCTGATAAATGTACATCAAATGTACTCAAAGAAACTGGCTAAACACCAGGATACGATGTGTATTCCTGTTTACAGCAGTGTGTGTAGAGGAGGAGCCAGCTCACTTGCAGCCCGGTGTCTACATCGAGAACCTGGTGAAGGTTTACCGTCACGGTAAGAAACTAGCAGTGGATGGACTGACTCTGGGATTCTACGAGGGACAGATCACTTCCTTCCTGGGACACAATGGAGCTGGAAAAACGACCACAATGTGAGTCTGGGACCTCCCCTGTTGTAACCTTGTTAAACAGAAAAATGGAAGGTCAGGTTAGGGTTCTGATCCAGACACAGAGTTAAAAGAGACAGGCTGTCTAGAGTATGGATGCCATCTACTGGGTCAGGTAGATGAATGGGTTGCTTTCATGCGACGTCACGCAGCAGTTGGAGGGCAGGGAAGTACAGTTGCCATGGATCTGTCGTGTGAAGAAATGGCCGTTTTGTTCCGTTTATGGCCGCTCTACTTATTCCAAGAGAAAGGGATTACTATCAAGTTTCAAAGGCTTTTGTCTGTTATAGTGAAAAAGGTAAAAACACATAACAAAGCAGACAAAAGTAGGTTTTAAATCTGAATGCGAGGAGAGTCCGTCTGCAGCCGCTGCTTCACCAGCGGTATGGAGCTCTACCAATGGTTAATTGTTGGTTCTGTTTACCAGAGGTGGGTAGAGTACCTAAAGTTTCTACTTTAAAAAATACGAATTAATCATATTTTTACTCAAGTAAAAGTAAAAAGTAGCCCTTTAAGATATGACTTAAGGAAGAGTAAAAAAAGTACATAGAAATGAACATACAACCTACATTATTTACATAATATACGTATAGATCCATCTAGATCTGCATCCATCCCTTAGGTCCATCCTAACTGGCTTATTCCCACCTACTTCTGGAACCGCCTACATCCTGGGTAAAGACATTCGGACACATCTAAGCGCCATCAGACAGAGCCTCGGTGTCTGTCCTCAGCATAACGTCCTATTTAGCATGTAAGTTCCCTTTTTAAGCATCTCGCAGCTTGAACATGCGTCTCCAGTTTTTAGTGCAACCCATTCTGTGCTGCTCCGCCCCCCACAGGCTGACAGTGGAGGAGCACATCTGGTTCTATGCTAGACTCAAAGGCCTGTCAGAGCAGCAGGTGTCAGGTGAGATCGAGCACATCCTGCAGGACACGGGGCTGCCTCAAAAACGAAAGTCCAGGACCAGCACTCTGTCCGGCGGGATGCAGAGGAAACTGTCAGTGGCCTTGGCCTTTGTTGGGGGAGCCAAGGTGGTGATCCTGGATGAGCCCACAGCTGGAGTCGACCCATATGCCCGCAGAGGAATCTGGGACCTACTGCTGAAGTATCGACAGGGTGAGGCTCTCTTATTGGTCTGGTCTCTCCAGCCTTTTTTTTATATATAATGTTAAGGTGGAACAAATGACTTTTTTTGTTGTTGTTTTATAATGTTAAGGCAGAACCAATGTCTCCTCTACCCTCAGGTCGGACCATTATCCTTTCCACCCACCACATGGATGAGGCGGACATTCTGGGAGACCGCATTGCCATCATCTCTCACGGCAAACTGTGTTGTGTGGGCTCATCTCTGTACCTGAAGAACCAGCTTGGGACAGGCTACTATCTGACTCTGGTTAAGAGGGACCCTGAACCCTCCCTGAGCTCCTGCAGGAACTCAGCAAGCACTGTGTCCTTCACCAAGAAGGTTTGGGACCTTTAGCCTGCAGCTGCTGTTTGACTCTACAGACTTCCTCCTCCTCCTGCTGTGTTCTGATCCATCCTGATGTTGTTTCAGGATGAGGAGAGCGCCTCGGTCAGCAGCAGTGACGCCGGACTGGGCAGCGAACATGAAAGTGAGGCAGCCACCATCGGTGAGCTCCCTGTTTCTGCGCACCATTTGATTTGCACATCCTCAGGTAGAGCTGATCCGTTTCCTGTGTCTCCGTCCTCAGAGAATGGCCCCGCTGCCTCCATCTGCACACCCCCTTACGTCCCGCCGGACACATCCTTTGTTTCTAGCCTCATCCTGCGACACGTCCCAGCCGCCCGCCTGGTGGAGGATTTGGGACATGAGCTAACCTATGTGCTGCCGTACAGCGCTGCCAAGGATGGTGCCTTTGTGGAGCTCTTCAAAGATCTGGACCTGAAACTCCATGAACTTGGGATCTCCAGCTATGGAGTGTCTGACACAAGCCTGGAGGAGGTGTGGTTCTGTTCAAACACAACACAATTTTTGTGGTTCAGAAAGGTTTTTCAAGAGTTTTGGGGGTTTTAGAGAAAAAGGAAATGATCATCTCTGTTAATTCGTTGTCCAGCTGCTTACTCATATCTTTTGTGGTTTGGTAGATTTTCCTAAAAGTGGCTGAAGATAATGGAGTGGACACTGAAGTGCCCTCAGGTGAGCAGGAGATATGCTATGAGTACTATTCCCTTCAAAATAAGAGTGTGGAACCTGTTTCAGGCTGTTCTGTGTTCAGATGGGACCCTTCCTGTTTGGAGGCGGAGGAGGACTCACGCATTTGGAGGAGGAGACAATCAGAGCTGCCTGAGGCCAAACGCAGATGACGACGATGACGACTCTGAGGGAGACGCTGGTACCTACCGATACATGGCTGTCACCATCACCTATTTTCTGTGTGATGATGTTCATGTGACGCAAGTTTCCTTTCAGAATGCAGGGAGACGGACTGGCTGAATGGCGTGAATGGTGCAGAGGGGAAGGGCTCATTCCAGGTGAAGGGCTGGAGCCTGAAGAGGCAGCAGTTTGTGGCGCTCATGTGGAAGCGTTTCCTGTATGCGCGGCGCTCCAGAAAGGGCTTCTTCGCCCAGGTACTCACTTGTGAATCTCTATATCCTATAAGTTCTGATTGTCCGCTTAGTGTCTAGCTTGTGCTTGTGTTTCTAGATCGTTCTTCCAGCTGTGTTCGTCTGCATCGCTCTGGTCTTCAGCTTCATTGTGCCTCCATTTGGAAAGTATCCTGATCTGGAGCTGCAGCCTTGGATGTATGAAGACCAGGTCACCTTTATCAGGTAAGCTGCAGTCCCGCCGTTAAGCTGTGGGAAGATCAGGTGTGTGTGCTGGAGTCTAACTATCACTGCCCCAACAGTGAGGATGCTCCAGGTGATGACAACATGCAGAGGTTACTGAACTCACTGCTGGATCCTCCGGGCTTTGGCAGTCGCTGCATGGACAGCCATTCAATCCCGTAAGAACTCAATCAGTCAGCAAACGGTGCTCCGCCTCTGTACAGGGTTACATGTTCACGTTTCTTTGTTTGGCCCAACCCATTAGGGAGGCCCCCTGCACCATGGGGGACGATGACTGGAGCACTCCTGAGGTTCCTGATAGTGTCCAGCAGCTGTTCAGCTCCAGAAACTGGACCATGAAGGATCCATCTCCAGCCTGCTGCTGCACGCATGAAGGCAGGAAGCGGATGCTGCCTGAATGCCCAGCAGGTGCTGGTGGTCTGCCCCCGCCTGAGGTCAGTATGTCATCTAATTACATTATTTTGGGGTGGATTAGAGATGGAGTGATTTCCTGACAATTGCTCTGATCGGATTGGCTGCTGATCGTGAGTCTGAACCTCATGAAGCTTAAACTACAAACATAAACTGTAAAGGCTCCATGAGGAAAGTCAACAGGTCCATCCCTGTAACATTCAGGAAGTGGTCCTGAACCAGAACTGAACTTACCTGTGATTATAAGGAGAAGGATCCTATTTTAGAGCTGCTATTTTCTGACATGTGCTGCCATCTACTGGAGCAACAACTAAACTACCATGATGAAATGCTTCAGTAGAAAAATGCACTAAAATTCTTAGATTCAGCAGAACCAACAGTTCTGTCTGTTTACATGTCGGACTTAATGAAATGAAAGCTGCATCTCTTTGTGTTCAGATGAAACTGAGCGCCTCAGACTCCCTCCAGAACCTGACAGGAAGGAACATCTCCGACTACCTGGTGAAGACATACGCTCAGATCATTGGGAAGAGGTGAGGCCATCAGAATCTAGATGAAAATGCACATCTAAGCCTCTTCAGTGTTCCAGACTAAAGTTTTCCATCTTCTCTCACAGCCTAAAGAACAAAGTCTGGGTGAACGAATTCAGGTCAGTTTCTGTGTCTGCCACTGCTGTTCCAACCTCATGATCCCCCTAACATCACTCAGGTGCTCTGCTGTCTCTGCAGGTATGGAGGTTTCTCCTTGGGGGCCAGGAGTACGCAGGTTCTCCCACCAGCCAATGAGATTGATGATGCCATCAACAGAGTGCGAAAGATCTTTGAATTACAGAAGGTGGGTGAGAGAAAAATTATAAACTGTTTCACTCCCAAAACCAGGGAGATGTTGGACCTCAGAACATCTCCTTCTGATCCTTCAGGGCTTAAATCTGATTTCCTAAAATCATATTTCTCTCTACAGGGATCTGCTGCGGACCGATTCCTCGACAATCTGTCTGGCTTCATCAACGGTCTCGACACAAAGAACAATGTGAAGGTAAGTCTGGGGCAGTTTTTATTCTAGATTTACCTTTAGAGGTTTTTGTTCAACACAAAATAATGAAAAAAAAAACTACTGATAAGTTTAGAAAAATAACTTTGTCAAAAGCACTTCTTTTTAATTTAACATTTTGATCAAGATGCTTTAATCCAGGTGTGTTCAAAGTAATTCCTCTTGGAGAGGTTCCTCTGCTTTCACATACCTGATTCAGATGATCACAGCTCAGTAAAGCTTGTTAATCAGCCATCAGTGGAACCTAATAGCACAGAATCAGGAAAACATCAGGAACATGCAGGTGAGGTGGTGTAATCATTCCTCCCAATCAGGTGTAGAAAAGAACAAAGCTGCTTTTCTTTAATGAGACAGAGGGTGGGGTTCATTCCTATCCACAAATAAAATGTTTTAGAGTAACTATAGAGATTGTTCTGGATAACCTGAGCCACTCTAACTATAAGCTTGATCAAAAAGGAAAGTTTTAAGCCTGTCCTTAAAAGTAAACAGGGTGTCTGCCTCACGGACTAAAACTGGCCGTTGGTTCCACAGGAGAGGAGCCTGATCACTAAAAGTTTTGCCTCCCATTCTATTTTTAGAAATTCTAGGAACCACTAGTAAACTAACTGAATAATAATTGAACTTTATTGATCTCACATTGGAGATATTTACCTCTGCATTTGGGAGCAGTGGGCTGGCAGCGTGGTGCACCCAGGGAGCACTGTGGGGTTAAGGGTCTTGCTCAGAGACTCAAAGTGCAGGCTGTGGGGATACAACTTTCTCAGAGCATACAGCTGAGCAGGTCCTCTGACTCTCCTCTAATATTGGACACAATCACAGCAAAGTCAGATTTCTGTGAAGTTCCATACATCCTGCTAATGCTCTGTTCAGGTGGTTTAACCTTAAATTACACAGCTGGCCACCCTGTCTGCAGATAGGAGACATTTAAATACAAATCTTCTGTCTCTGACGGACACCTGAGGGAAATCTGGATTTTACATGTTTATGATTCTTGGTTAGATGTCAGAGACTTTGGAAAAAAAATACCTAAACAAAGAAGACGTCACAAATTTTCACATATATGTTATGAACCCTGCTGGTTATGTGTGTAGCTATATTCAGACGTTCCATGTTTTTTTGTTTGTTTGTTTTTTTCAAACCAGATCTGTTTTTAAAGCCCTTTGGTCAACTTCTGTTTGTTTTGTTTGTTTAAAGTGCACTGATGGCAAAAGCCAATAAGCTTGCACTGATGACAGGCCTCAGTTATTGATGTAAAAAAGTTCCTGTGAGGCTAAAAACTAGCTGGGTTCATCTTCATTGAAATTATGTAACTATAAATTATTAGTGTGACAATCAAAGTTTGAAAATGTATCATTTTGACATGCAGTAAGTCACACCTTAACCACGGGGTGCGTATAGTTTAATGATTAGCTATTAGTGGAAGTTTGCTTTTGGTGAAATCATCCTGATGTTGAAACTTTGGTTGAAGGTCTGTTTTTCTACACTGTGTTAGCAGGGAGGCCTAAACTGTGTGTAGGGGATGGATGGGATCCACCAGGACTTTATTGTCCTTTGACACCACTCAAGACCTGAAAGGCTCTATAATGTCTGATTGTATCCCAATATTTTTTTCTGCGTTCTTTAACAATAATCTACAGGCGTGTATATATAGTTTATAGATTAAGTAAATTGAACCAAAAACACAGGAAAGTGTGAAGAGATTCAATTAAGCAACTGCTAAACAATCAGTGGCTGTGCCCCAACATCATCCCTATATATATATATATATATATATATATATATATATATATATAGATAGATAGATAGATAGATAGATAGATAGATAGATAGATAGATAGATAGATAGCCATTTGTATGAGTGCACCAATGTCTAGTGGTTGCGTAGAGTAGTGGACTTAAAAATTCCCCATAATCCATGGTGAAAAATGGTCCGCATCAACATAGACATTATATATATGTAGACACCTCATTAGGAAGCATCTGCCTATGCTGCGGATGAATCAAAGAGTCCACCATGTTGAATGTGGCAAAATATGTATTACTTGAAAATCTATATATGCACATCTATATCAAAAAACAATAGTCTGTAGTGTATGCAAGCTAAAAACCTTGCTCAGCTTTTTCCTAGTGCTGCCACTCTGCAGCATTAGTGTGTCCAGTTTGGCAACATGATGCAGCTTTTGCTTATAGAAAGCAGACACAACAAGTGTAATCCGCCCCAAATGCTGATTGTCAATCTCATTTATTACTTAGGGCAAACCCAAAAGTATAGCTTTTGAATGTGTATCCTTTAATGAAGTGTGCAGCTTTCCTTCAGTCATGCTTTTGTTTTATTCATATTAACTAATAGGCCTGTGTGTCCTACAGGATTGTCGTTATGAAGCGTGGGAATTACCAGTATTTCTCCCATAGTCGACTAATTCTGTTTTATTAAATGACATCATCATGGGGCAAATAATATCTTATGGATTTGTTTCATTCTTACGTGTGAAAGGAAATGCCAGGAAATTTGGTTTGTTCCGTAAAACAGTTGGTGCATCTTCTCCCATCACCGTTCACTACAACAGACGTCAACTACTTTCTGCCACTTACAATACGGCGGTGACGTCGATGTGCAAACCTGTGCCCAACGAGGCATCTATGTATATACGTTTATGTGCATCAGTGGTCACAAGACCAGTGTATATCTCAGAATGCTTTGCAAGTGCTCTCCTCTCAAAACATCATGGGATTTGTTTTAGGGGTGAGCGAGAACAAAGATGGCACTGGCAGCGTGAGAAGAGCCAGAGTCATTTAAGCAACGGGGAGTGAAAAGTAGTGATCATCTGTCCAAATGGTCAGTTAACTGAGTGCACGTAAAAGTTCACTGTATAATCTCTGCTCTATATAGTGAACGAAGGGGTTGGGATTAGGACGTACACTCCGACACAACCAGTGTTTGCAGAAAGTGCGCTCTCTGTGGATTTTTCTACACTGTGTATCTGCCTTGGACTCAATTGTCAGTTAATTGTCCATCATTGTGCCCTGGAAGAAATATTCCTTCATCTCCTCTGCGTCCTTTCTATTTATTGTTTGTCTATTTGTTTGATCCTTCATCTCAGATCTGGTTCAATAACAAAGGCTGGCATAGTGCTGCGGCCTTCATCAACGTGATGAGTAATGGCATCCTAAGAGCAAACCTACCGCACGGCGCAGAGCCTAGCAGCTATGGCATCATCGCTGTTAATCACCCGCTGAACCTGACGAAGGAGCAGCTGTCCCAGGTGGCCCTGTGAGTGAGCAACTGATGGACTTGAAACTTGGCTAGTTAAAATAAAAAACATGGAATAATGGTTTTAACTGATTGCTTTTATCCCCATTCTTTTCCTCATCTCCAGGGTAACGACCTCCGTGGACGTCCTGGTGTCCATCTGCGTGATCTTCGCTATGTCCTTCGTCCCTGCCAGCTTTGTGGTCTTCCTCATCCAGGAGCGTGTCAGTAAAGCCAAACACATGCAGTTCATCAGCGGCGTTCACCCGCTGCTCTATTGGGTGGCCAACTTCACCTGGGACATGGTGAGACTCTAAGCCCCGCCCCCTCACTGTGAATCGCTTGTGCAGGTCTTACTGATGCTTTGTGTATCTCTGCAGTGTAACTACTTTGTCCCCGCAACACTCGTCATCCTCATCTTCATCTGCTTCCAACAAAAAGCCTACGTCTCCTCCAGCAACCTGCCGGTTCTTGCCCTGCTGCTGCTGCTATACGGGTCAGAACCACTGAGCTATTTGGTCCAATAGTTTTATGTACTTTACTAGGTATAGAAGATTTTATGTCTGAAAGAAAGGATCTAAGTTCTTAAAGCAGCTTTTTGTGTGTCCGTTTCATCTTCAGCTGGTCCATCACCCCGCTCATGTACCCGGCCTCCTTCTTCTTCAAGATCCCCAGCACCGCCTACGTCGTCCTCACCAGCGTCAACATCCTCATCGGCATCAACGGCAGCATCTCCACCTTTGTCATGGAACTCTTTGGTGACCATGTGAGCCCACTTTGAACCTCATCTGATCCAAGGGTTATCCCTGCTGTGGACGGAGCTTTAACTACCTGTTCTCTGCAGGAGATTGGAGGCATCAACGACATCCTAAAGAACGTCCTCCTCATCTTCCCTCACTTCTGTCTCGGGCGAGGACTCATTGATATGGTGAAGAACCAGGCGATGGCCGACGCCCTCGAGAGATTTGGTAACAGACTCAGCATTTCAGTGTGGGAGTTCTTCGCAGGAGCAGGTGGGTTAGCTAAACGGAGACCAATCACTGCTGGTGTTTTCCAGGTGAGAACCGATTCCGATCACCACTGGAGTGGGACATGGTAGGAAAGAATCTGTTTGCTATGGCTGTGGAGGGAGTGGTCTTCTTCATCATCACCATCCTCATCCAGTACAGGTTCTGCATCAAGACCAAGTGAGTACTGGTTCTGATCTCTCCCACGTAAAATCAACCGTAGCTCAGATTCTGCATGTTACCCGTGATGAAGTTCTTCCTATTCAAAGTATCTCTTTCTGAAGGCCCGTCAGTAAGCTCACTAAACTGGGAACACTGGGAGAGGAGGACGAGGACGTGGCGCGGGAGAGACACCGGATCGTACAGGGCCTCGGGCAGGGAGACATTCTGGAGCTCCGGCAGCTCACAAAGGTGGGAAACAGTTCTACACCCGGGCAAACGATGCTTATAATGTGCCTATGCACAGAGATCCCTGCAGCAACATGTTTCCTGGACAACCTGGTATAGAAAGGAACTTGGTGTGAAAATATTCAGCAGTCGTCAACTTTTTCTATATGCAGTAATAAAGAACATAATCCTCACCTTAATACACTGAGTGGATACTGGATATATGGCCCTACCTGTGATCTATTAAATTCATATTTTATGTCATAAATGTGTATGAATTTAAATCCAATATTTATTAAAGTCACGACTAGAAATGTACTTTTTTAGGGGGGGGACTTCCTCTGCCAAAGCACATTAAATCAACTAAAAATTTAAGTAACTGCCCTTTTAAGAATGATTTTGATATGTAAAGCCAGGGAATAAAAAGCCCCAGTGAATTCAGCATACACCATGAGCTACAATAAGTTTGATAATCCCTATTAATTTAAATATTTATTTAGGAAACTAAGATTTTCTGCACCTGAATTTAGATAATTTTTCAATTTAACAAATAGTAATACAGACACTTTGTGACGTATTGAATTTGCTGCACCTTTGGCTTTCCGTACCTGCTGCAGTCACAATTGTTCCTATTTATAGACTTCAGCTTATGTGGCATGTTTAGATCTGTGGTAGAAATGTTTTGGTCAAAACTTTTTTTCTAAACCGTTGAGCTTCTAGAGAAGGATAGTCTATTTTTTCGCTGTTGACACAACAGATCCCTGCCAGAAACTAGTGAGCTGCAGTAAGAACTGCTGACAGATCTTTACTGACAGAGGATCTATCTGCAGTTTGAAAATGTTGACTTACAGATGGTTTGCTTCTGTTCTCTCACTTTTTTTGCATTTGTTTCTGTTTATTTCTGCGACAAAGAAAGTTTGAGTAAAGTATCAAACAAAAGTGAGAATTTTTTTTATGGACAGTTTGTTTTAATGCATGAATTTAAATTGGCAGTTGGTGTTGAATGAATCAGTATTTCTATTTTTTTGTTTGTTTGTTTGTTCATGTAATGAAAAACAAATAAGGATGCTGCCGAGCTGTTGATTTGTTGTATTTGAAGAGAATTATGCATTTCAATAAAAAAAATAATATCAAGGAATAGGGATGGGGATCGAAACCCGGTTCTATCAAGGACCCGGTTCCACTTTTTTCAAAACCCGAAAATCAATAACGTTTGGGCTTATCGATACCACTATCGAGTCTGGTCGTTTTTTTTTTTTCTCCACATTAGCTACGTTTACATGGTCACAACTAATCGGATTGAAGGCCTGATCAGATCAAAAATGTTTCATGTAAAC